TTGCAACCGCTCAGGCCCTCAGATATCAGCGTAAAACACGCTGATTGTGCTGATTTTGTAGCTCAGATTTTCGTTTTCCCTTAAGATTCAGCATAAGCTTCAAATTTGCACTGAAATTTCAGTATAACCTATTTTGCCACACTGACCATTTTGCGTGTTGCTCTACAAGTAACACTGACGAATCAGTATAGTGTACCGAGTCACACTGATTCGGACATGATAGGGTATGGGTGTACAGGGGGTGTTCAACCCAGGATTCCTGGAAAAAAGGTATGCGGACCATTCAAGTGGCTCCCGTCGTCGGGCACCGAACCTGCGGCCTTTCCGAGTACAAGACATAACCTACACAACTACGCCAGTATCACCGTTTGTAATGTGCACTCACATATCCAACACTGATGTTTCAGTTTGCTTTGAAAATTCACAGTGAAAAATCAGCATAAATTTAACCCCCAACGTTGATTTGGACACAATCTTGGACACTGCACACTGATCGATCAGCATACCCTGAAACCAATGAGGGCCTGCAACCGCTACTAAAAGACCTTCCGTCACTTGTATCTTGCAACAAGCGCTTCACTACCCCTTGCTGCCAGGCTTGATAATGCAGATTCTACTACAATATCAGCGTGTCACACCTGCTGCCACCCCTGAAGACCAGCACACTGCAATCCATTAAGTGATACCAAGAGTGTAACAAAGGCTGCCACACAGCTCATCTTCTTACAACGCATCAACCTTCTCCAGGCCTCCTGCATCCACCCCTTTCACATCCCCATTTGTTGCATCTACGGACACACCATCCCCCTTAGCAACCCCAACCCCAAGTGTCCGCCCTGTTGCTCTTGATCCGCGAATGCGCCACATACTCCACATGTTTCTTGCCCCCAGGACAAATGGGCACCAGAATTAAAGGTAATAATACGCCTGCATGGTCATCGACCAGCTGTACGGTATGTGTCGGAGGCAGGCCCTCAGATTCACTTTTAGGGACGTTGATGCATCAGGGTCCCTGTGAAAAAAAGCCTGAATTTTCAGGGTTCCTAAAAAAAAAAGCCTGAATTTTCAGGGTTCCGGAAAACAAAAGCCTGAGTTTTCAATCACATCATGCAATTGTGCAAGGGAGTAGCCTTTATGAACATGGGAGTAGAGAAATTCGAACCGGAAACCTTACCATTCGGTATTTACTTCGCTAACCACTAAGCCAGTTCATCGAGTCAACGATCAATATGTCGAAATGTTGGTTAATTTATTGTCTCGGGTGTTTTACGGGAAGGATTCGGAATGTGCATTCAGTGTACACTTCGATAAAAGTCTGAAACATCAGTGTTAGCTATGAAGTAAAGGCTGAAAAAATCAGTGTCACAAAAATCTCAACACTGAAAATTCAGTGTAGGTACACAAAACTAGGCTGAAAATCAGGAATTTCAGGGAAAAATTCCTGATATCGTAGGGCCTGGTCGGAGGGCAACGGAAACATATGGCAACTGCATGACTCAGTAATCAACAGCATGACTCATGAGTCAAGGCAAGATTGTAAGTACAGGCATGATGTGATGAGTCAACAAGACATTCCGTCACACCCCGGATATACCCCCATGGGGGGCACTAATAAAACATGTTTTTTTTAGGGGGTGGGCTTATAATATAGTAAAATTATAAGCGCCGGCGTTTATGTTATGTCAAAAATGAAATTTGTTTTTAAATATACCAAATCGAAGCATTCTCAAAGGCGAATTCACCTGAGTCGAGAACGTTCGAAACTGTGCATGCTTTGCGCGTGAAACGGCCAACAAGGCGTGGCATGACGCCTTCCACGCCTTGTTGGTCAGGCCAGGTTCATCGAACGTGAACCTGGCCCATGCCAGCGCACACGTACTTCGCATCACAGCGGCCCAATCATGGTTGCATGCGATCGTGGGCACGTCGTGGTTCAGCCACGACGTGCCCATCAACATCAAGATTCCCTGCCACAGAGGCAAAGGGCTTCCCAGCTCAGCTCCTCTGCGGGGAATCTTGACTGTGGCTGGACTTTCCCTGCAGAGGAAGCCGGGCCGCAAAACTGAAGGGGTCTCGGGCGAGGGCTTCATACGGCCCTCATTCTCAGCTTTTGATTCAGTTTTCTTCGTTCGTTTGGCCTGCCCTGGCCATGGCGGGCCTTCCAGGCACGCATTTCTTGTTCCGCCGCCAACCTGCTGCTAGAGAAAGTAACCGCAGAGACACCCGTGACTACTCTCAATGGCAGTCGCGCCCTGCGCCCGTCCCTCCATCACAACCAGTAGTGCCTCCCGTTCCTCCCACTCCTCCTACGCCTCCTACCCCTCCCGCTCCCCCGGCGCCTCCTATTCCTCCCGTTCCTCCGGCCCCTCCTGTCCCGCCTGCTGTTGGTGTTCCGCGACAGGGGGTTCTGCAGCTTCTCCTCCCGCCTGGCTACTCGGCGTTCGACGCCTTCCTGTCCGAGCCTGAACGCAGCGGCGGCGAAGGATCTTCCTCCGCACCGGAGCCACGGTGGGGAGCGCCGGCTGATTGCCCGTTGGACGAATCCGCAACCGGTGCAGACGACGACGTGGAGTTCTGGGCTGCTGGCGGTCTCCCCGAGCACCTTCCAATTCCCTCCTTCCCCCCTCCGAATAAAAAAAGGCCCCACCCATCTCGCGATAATCGTGATGCCCGTCCTCCCTCCCCCAGGCACAAGCCGACAAAGCACAGGCGCAATTCCTACACCTCGCATGAGAAGCTGCAATGGATTCTGAAGCTCGAAGCCGGAGAGATGAGTGTGCGGCGCATGTCTCGCGAATCCGGCATCTCCCGAAGGTGTCTCACGGAGTGGAAGAACCGCAAGGCTGAGCTTGAGGGCGCGCACGGTACACACTGTCGCCTGCACGGCCGCGGAAGGAGCTCGTGGTATCGCGACATGGAAGCGGAGGTGTACCGGAGGTTTCTCGCCCACCGCAAGAAGTGCCTCGGCGTCTCGATCGCACGACTGCAGAAGTGGTCGCACGAGGTGATGAAAGAGTTACACCCAGGTGAAAAGTGGGCCGGCTCTCAGCGGTGGACTCAGCGCTTTCGCCGCCGCTGGAACCTGACGACCAGAGCGAAGACCCGGGTCGGCCAGAAGCTCTCGTCAAGTGAGTTATTTGGTGGTGTTGTTGTTTGTATGAACCGTCTATTCACGGCTCTCACTCTGTGTTTGTGCTTTCTGTTCCTCCCATCCCGTGTCCCAGACTGCGAGACTGATGTCAAGAACTTCTGGACGTACGTGCGTCACTCCCGCCGCCAGTACAAGATCGACCTGCCGTGGATCTTAAACGCGGACCAGACGCCCCTCTGGCTCGAGATGCCATCCGAACGCACCGTTGAAGAGGTTGGCTCGCGCTCCGTGCCCGTCCGCAGCGGCGGCTACCAGAAAGAGCGGGTTACCGTGATGCTCGCCTGCACCGCCAGCGGGGAGAAGTTGAAGCCGTGGGTCTTCTTCAAAAGGAAGACCGTCCCCAAAGGAGATTTTCCTTCAGGTATGAAGCACACGTCGATTACAAGGTGGCATGTTCATGTCAGGTAAAAAACGTACGGTAACTAACATCGTGGTTTTGATGTTGTGCAGATATCCACGTGGGGGTCCATCCCAACGGTTGGATGGACGCGGACGGGGTCATCGAGTGGCTGGACGGGGCGGTGAAGCCGTACATCAACCCCAAGTTCGGAGTCCGTCCCCGCAAGGCTCTGCTCGTCCTCGATTCGTACCGCGGGCACCTGAACCCGGAGGTGAAGAAGAAGTTTGGCGAGCTCAACCTGGTCCCTGCGGTTATCCCTGCTGGCTGCACCTCGGAGATTCAACCCCTCGACGTCGCGGTTAACCGCTCCTTCAAGGCCGCCGTTCGCCAGCTCTACCAGGAGTGGTTTGAGCGTGAGGGGGTCGACATCTTGACGAAGAAAGGTGAGATGTGCAGCCTCTCTGTTTATGCTTTTATTTATTTCACCCGTGCTGACTCTATTTCTGGATTTGCGTGGCAGGCAACATCAAGAAGCCTCCTGTCGAGCTGACGCTGAAGTGGATCTCGGCGGCCTGGAAGTCCGTGCCCAAGGAGCTTATTCAACGGGCGTTCCTCACCTGCGGCATCAGCAACGCCCTGGATGGGTCCCAGGACAAGCTCTGCCTGCAACACAGGCGAGACGATCTCGAGGGCGAGGAGGTCGACGTGGATGATGAAATTGCAGCAGACGGATTCTTCTGCAACAACGTAGAGGAACCTGAGTCGGACTCTGAGGCCGACCCAGATGACCCCACTGCAGCTGATGATTAGAGTAGGGTAGATTTCTAGAAAATGGTGAAGCCTGTGTGAGGCTCGTAGGTAGAAGTAGATTAACTAGAAGTAGATAAACTAGTTGTAGATTAACTAACATGATATGCTAGTGGATTAAATGTATAAAATGTCTTCAAATTAAAAAAACAACAAAAAAACAGGGTGGCGGTTATAATGTGTACGGTATAGGTATGCGGTTATAATCTGTAAGCCTTTTAGGTATGCGCTTATAATCGAGCACCGGATATAAGCGCCACACGCCAATTAAAAGCGCCAGGCGCTTATCCGCGGGTGGCGCTTATATCCGGGGTATGACGGTTAGTGTGTTACAGCAATGCATGCACACTTCCACGTTTCTTAACTTGAGTACTTATCATTTACACTGTTACCAGAGTTCAAAATGTATAAGGGTCCTGCTTACAAACCCGTCCAATGGGCGTAGCTATGTGCTACTGTGTCTTGACAGTCTTTGGGCGGCGAGGCTTGTACACCATTGGCAGAAAAATCAAGAGAATCGGGATGACAGTACCAGTATAGTACATGCCACTATAGGCTGAGTATGCTCCCGATAGTGTCATTACCTGCATCTTGAACAGCCATAGCAAACACAGTCAAACGAGAGAAGCAATGCGCATGAAGCACTGGGCAGTATAGATGCATGGAGGCCCATAGTGGAAATTACGGCCCCGGCAGCGATGTTTACTGGAAGTTCCATGTAAAGAAAATAAGAAAGTTGAAGAAGAAGAAAAAGGTGAAAACATGCACACTTACGCAGAAGGCACTGGCCAAGTAGCTGCAGACAAAGATGCTATAGAGGGTATGAAGAAGCGTTACAATGCGGTGGGTGTTGGTGCCCTTGGCGATTCCAGCAGTGAGCTGGTAGATGGCTGCATGAGAGGGAAGGGGAATGAAGGGGAGGGGAGGTGACTTTTGAGCCGACTGAAAAGTCACCTCGTTGCCATGCGGTGGGTGATGGTGCCCTTGGGGATTCCATTCCAGCAGTGACCTGGCAGACGGCTGCATGAGAGGGAAGATGAACGAAGGGAAGCGGAGCAGAAAATTTGAGAGATGAATTTGAGCGCAAGTCTGCAGGAAATGGTGTGCCCAAGTAACAGGTTATGATCCCATGGTCAAGAAACGGGAAAGGGAAATGGGTATGGGATTTGGGTATGCAATGGTGGTGGGAGTGGTAGTGCGAGTAGGAATGGAAAATGGATATGGCAAGAGAAATGGGAATGCACAGTAGAAATGGATGGGTATGGAAAAGAAAACAGGCCCGGAAGAATGAATGGCAATTGGATGGAAGTACTCGAATGAACATGGAAACTGAACGAGAGGGGAAAAAAAAAAACTTGTCAGAAGTGCAGGAGATAGCAGGATTGTAGTGATCTTCAATCTATATTCATGCAACTATCAATTTTGGGGTGTGTCCACACCTTTAGAGCTGGCAACAGCAAGCGCCCAATTGGCAAAAAAGATGAAGTCACCCCAATTCAAGCCCTGTGGGTAACACAAAGTGGGGGTTCGGAAAAAGTGCACATGGTCGGGAGATTATGCAGCGGGAGACACAGCCTTTGAAATCAACAAATAATCTGACACAGAAGGTGCAACTGAAATCAGCAATGCATATGGCTCTGCGTGCATATGGCTCTGCGTGCATGGGGCAAGTAGAAGGTTCTGTACACTCAGAGAATAAGAAGCTTGCTCTAATGGAACCAAGGCTATATACGCTGATCGCTAAAAGCTGCAGTGGTTGTTAAGATACCAGAAATTGCAAAAGCAGTTTGCACAAATTGGCCTTGGGTGCCAATATATGAGCAACAACGTTGTGGCTGCTGGCATGAGAGTGAGGTGGGGTGACGTGAATGGGAACAGGACAGGGTGACGCAGAGATAACGTTCCTTCGAGCGAGATGGCACGGGGCCATGAACATGGCAGATAGGGGTGACGCACGTGGGGGAGAGAAGCATGGGGAGTAGGAGTGAGGCAGATGGGAGACGGGGTAAGAGAGAACGCACATGGGAGACGGGGTAAGAGAGAACGCACATGGGAGACGGCGCTGACGAGCATGGTGGCGAGCATGTGGACGAAGGTGGGCCTCCTGCCGGGCGGCACCATGCGCTCGTACACGTCTGTGCAGGGCGCAGCGCAGGTGACCAGCAGTGGACGGATGGCAGGAAGTCACGAGGGAGCAGCGGACAAGCACGCCGCATGATGCATGAAGAATGAAGCAATATCGCATGGTGAAGCATGGCGCAATCATGATACATGAAGCATGCAGTTGAATCATGGAGCATGGAGCACGGAGCACGGAGAACGGAGCATGGAGCACGGAGCATGGAGCACGGAGCACGGAGCATGGAGCATGGAGCACGGAGCATGGAGCACGGAGCACGGAGCATGTGTATGCCAGCCAAAGAGGAAAGGACTAGAAGGCAGGGAGCACATGCACACGAACGGTTGAAGAGCGATGCTCAAACTCGCAGAGGTCGAGGAACGGTTCAGAGAGGTCCAAAGAGGTGCAGAGAGCTACAGAGTGGTTCAAAGAGATTCAGGGAGGTCGAGAGGTGAAGGTGCCGTGCGGCGTGGACTCACAGAGCCTGAGCCAGAGACCGTAGGAAATGTTCCACGTGGTGGCGAAGTCGAGGCAGCTCTTGGGAAACTCAACCCCCAGCATGTCCGCGTTGCGAGCCCGGTTCCACAGCGCCTTTCCCTCCCCTGCAGGCGCCGCACGGGTCTTATCGCCCTCATGCTTCCCTACATCCCCATCCCCGCCACCCTTCCCATTCCCCTTCCCCCCTTCCGATTCCCCCCCGTTTCCCTTCACGTCCCCGCCCTTTCCAGTCTCCCCATTGGGGGCCTCCCAGCCGCTGAACCCCAGGCGACCAACGATCATGGCAGCCTCGGTGATGCTCCAGAGGATGTACGCTCGGAAGCGCCACACCACGCCGGCGTGGTGCGCGTAGAGCCAGCGCAGGTGGAAGGGGAAGGAGCGGTTCTTGCGCAGGTCGCTGATGCGCGTGAGGTCAAGCGAGGGGGACACAAGCAGGAAGACGGCCGCTGCAAGGACGCCCTGGATGAACGCGCGGCAGAAGGGCGGCAGGATGGGTGCCTGCTTGAAACCCGGCGACCAGATCTGCAGGGGAGGCATGGATGGCAAGAGACGGAAGAGTGAGGTTAAGGATGAACGCGTGGAACAAGGGCGGCAGGACAGATGGCTGCTTGAGACCCGGGGACCAGATCTCCAGGTGGTGAGGAGGGGGGTGGGTGGGTGGGAACGTGCAGAGTGGTGAGGCGAGGCGCGCGTGTGGAGATGATGCCATGAACGAATGCATGGAAGGATGGCAGACGAACGGACAGCAGTTCCAGTGTGAAGGTCCATATTAAGTGCACTGTGAGGAGAGGCGAGATGAAATGTAGGAAGACGGAACGGACGAGATGAAAAGTGGAGGGGAGGTTCGACACAAGAAGATGAAAAGTAGGAGCACGAGAGCCCGAAACATGGCGTCACAACACAGACGATGATATGGATATGTATGGCTACGGCTATGGATATGGATAGGGATAGGGATACATTGATAAGGATATGCACGTGCATGTGGAGGCATGTCAAGATTGAAAACGTACCCCTTGTCGTCGCGTCCAGTCATTGTACACCTTGAACTCCAAGAACGGGCCTGTTATGTGCAGCCCGAAGCAGAACAGGTACCCCATCAGCTCCAGCACCGACGGCATGGTAACCAGCGCCGCGTTTCGCCGCTCCAATCGCGAACGCTCCATCCGCTCCTCCCGCCGCCTCTGCTCCTCCGTTAATTCCTTCCTCTCCTTCTCGTCCTTAGCTTGCACGCCTTCGTCCTTCTCCTTGAGCAGCGTGAGCCCGTCCTGGTAGTTATACGCGACAGCGGAGAGCTTTGTAGCGAGGACGGTGAGCGCGCCTGTGCAGTCGAGCACGCCCTCCGTGCGGGTCTCGTGGGTCCGCATGATGACGTGGCTGCAGGAGGTTGGATCGCGTTGAACGAGGGAAATACACGTCAGCAAGTCAACGTCGGTGGGTTAAGGAAGTTTGAAGCGGGAAATGTGGAGACGGAGGTATGTTCGCACGAAAGTACTGAGGGATGAACGTTAGCTGGAAGAGGATGCAAAGAGGGGAAACGAGACGGCTGGCAATGACACAGAACCAAAGAAACACCAAGAACGACGAGAAGGGGAACTTACCACCCAATCAAGTACGCGAACGTTCCGAAGAACGTTAGGACGCCGCATTTTCTACGAAACAGCCGCATTACGGCCATGGAGTAGAGCATGCACACGAAGAAGTGCGCGTCCGCCGTCCATCCGAACACGAACGCCGATAGAAGCAGTCCCGTTACTGTGCAGTACAGATGGCGGAGTGAAGGCGATGAGATGAATCTGTGAAGCCACGCAATCGGGACGAACGCGAAGCTAGCTAGCAAGAAAGTCGCGGCTGGACGGGGCGTGCCGAAAAGGTCAGCGAATGACTGTATGGGATCCATGGCGGAGCCCAACGCGCGGCAAGGGAAAGCAGTGGGCCGATGCGGAGACGAAAGGCGGGTCAAGGCTGTTCTTGCAGTTCTTGCTCTTGTCCTTGCTTGTTCTTGCTGTTCTTGTTCTCGATCTTGCTGGTGTTCTAGTCATACTCCCCGCCTTGTCCATTTTATATCAGCTCTTTATTCAAAAGGCCGCCGCGTCCTTCCCTTACACTCTTCGCGGTTTTCCTCCACGCCTCTTCGTCACCCGCTGGTAGCACCCCCCTGCTCCCCCTTCCCCCTCCTCCGTTCCCCGCTTTCCTGTTTGGCGTGTGCCGTGCGCGCGCAAGAGAAAGACGAACTCTGTCAGGCTACGACCAGCAGCACCACCGTGGGCTACTACCGAATTACTCCGCAAGACTGAGATCGACGAAGTTTGAGATGATGTTCGAAATGACACGAGCATGTGGTGGCGCTGCCGCCGGTGGTGGCGTGCTGTAACGCAATCGCAACCATCTACCGAAGTGGATGCAAACGGATGGCGAGCGTTGGCGAGAATGAATCCGAAGACTAGGCAAATCGCGATGACGTGTCAGAAATGCATACTGCAATACATACGTTCCATGTATCCGCGCACGTGAAGCAGGGGACGTTCGGACGGGAAAGGCGAAAAAGAGCTCTGGCAGTCTGCGAGGCAGACTGCCATGCCATGCGAGATATCTCTAGGGGGAATCTCCCCTGGCGCCGGCGAAAGCCCTTATCGACCGAAGGCCTGGCTCGAAGAGACCCGACCGACCCGGTGCCCTCGCCATCGTAACCCGCAGCCGCGCGAAGGGAACCCCGCCAGCGTGGCACTCGGGGACTAGGCCGACCACCTAGCGAGAAATTGTAGGGCCGACCATTTGGGCCCTACCCGGGACTCCGAGGCCGCAGCTGCCTGTGGGAAGCGTGCTGCTGACGCAGCAGCGGGCGGGGACCGCAGCCAACTTCCGTTTCGTCCCAGAATCGCGAACGCCATTAGGACGCGTCACTTCAACGCCGATCGCAGGATCGATCCTACGTAGGATCGAATTGCGTGGTTAAATTTGCATCTAGAGATTTTTACTACGTTGCGCGTAGTTTAAATGCGGTGGAAGATCGATCTTCGACGATCGATAGCAGGTTCGGCTTTCAGGTGACGCGTCCTTAGGCAGTCGTGAATAGGCATGAGCAAAGACCGAACCTGGTCGATTCGGTAATATTTTAAATCGAGCCGAACCGGTTCGCCTCAAAGCTGGTTCAAATCTGACAAAGTGGCCAACGTCGGTACCGGTTCCTGTTAGCCTTCGAACGGGGCCAGTTCAATTCGATAAGACTAAAACCAGGCCATTCTGGTGTAATTCTGAAAGAACCTCTCTATGATGCTTACAGTAAGGTTTAGGGGAGTAAAACCTACATATATTCTATGTCTAAAAACGTAGCTCAGCAAACAGTTTAAAGGGTATTCACACATCACCAACAATCATGGAATAATGGTTCGGAAGCATGCTTCTAACCTCGTTTATAATAATAATAAAAAAACAAAACAAAACAAAACAAAAGAAAAAAAAAAAAAAAAAAAAAAAAAAAAAAAACCGAAGCGCGATGTGCTTTGTAAGGTTGACGAACCTTGGCTTGTTCGCGATCCTGATGGCGCTCTGGTTGTCGCAGTGAAGACGAAAGGTGGGCAAAGTTGGAATTTTCTCTTCATGCAGCACTTCTTGCAGATTAAGCCATTCGCGAACTGGAGCCGTTTCGGCGATGTACTCTGCTTTGGCTGATGTCCGGGCAACCCGCTCCACCTTCTACGAGTTCTAGGAGATTGGGGCCGTTGGCTCCAGGAGGAAGACGAAGCCGGTTCGTGACCGTCGATTGGCAGGGTGAGCAGCATGATCTGTGTCCACGTAACCGGTAAGGTTGAAGGATGTTGTTATCAGCGTGTAGTAGGAGAGCTCGATGTCAGACGTGGAGACAAAGTACTGTAGGGCGCGCTCCAGGTCCAGCTTGTTCTTCGCTACTGGCTCGCGTGAGTACTATGCTAGTTGGCTGGCGATGTACAAAAGGTCGGGTCGGCAGGTGACAGAGGCGAACAGCTGGAGTCTTGCGGATGAAAGAGGTTTGTTGTCCGGTTTGTAGTTGGTGTTGGGCGTGCGGTAAGGAGTTGAGAGTGGTGCGGGCAAAATTTTGAACCGTTTTCCCAATTACTTTGCGTACTTGGAGGCCGACCTATGAATTGCTTCTGGCACGTAACTGATGTTCAACGCCAGGAACGGTGACCTTGTGGTTGATGGTGATGTTAACGCGCTACGCCAGGTTTTGCTTGAATTGGTTCAGGATCTCGTTGCCTGTATCGGTATAGAGCGGGTCGTCGATGTAGACTGTCACGAAGATGTCGTCGCCGTTGAAGTGGAGGTGGTTGTCAAACTATATGTGCAGCTTGTTGTGTAGGCTGTAGTGGGGTAGCCCATATGGGGTACAACCCGATTAGGGTTTACTACTTGTAAACCTGCATGCTGATAGTTCACACATTCTCGTTTGTACTTCTGATATGGTTTCAGAGTAGGTCCTAGCCTAGGACCGTTATTTTTTTAGGCCCCACCGAGTAGCGCTACCCCACCCGTCGCGCCGCCGTGTTAGCGCCGCGCTGCCTTGCCCTGCCCTGCGTTGCGCTGCCTGCGCACGCCCTGCCCTGCCCTGCCCGCGCACCGCGCCGTGACGCCTTGCTCGCACGTCGCCCGCCGCAGCGCGCCTTGCCCTGCCTGCGCGCTGCCCACAGCAACGCGCCCTGCCCTGCCCGCGCGCCGCCCGCCGCCGCGCGCCCTGTGCTGCCCGCGCGCTGCCTGCCGCAGCGCGCGCCCACTGCGGCGCGGCCTGCCTTGCCCGTGCGCCGCCCGCTGCAGCGCGCACTGCCTTGCACGTGCGCTGCTCGCCACCGCGCCGTGTGCCCTGCCTGCGCGCCGCTTGCCGCCTCACCGCGCGCCCTGCCTGCGCGTCGTCGCGCTGCGCGTCCTACCTGCACGCCGTTCGCTGCCGCCGCAGCGCCACGCCACCGCGCCGCACGCCCTGCCCTGCCAGCGTGCCGCCGCCGCGCGCCTTGCCTTGCCCGTGCGCCGCCCGCCGCGCGCCCTGCTCTGCCCGCGCGCCGCCCGCCGCCGGCTCTGCTCTGCCCGCAAGCCACCCGCCGCCACGCGCCCTGCCCTTCCCGCGCGCCGCTGCTGCTGAGCGCCCTGCCCTGTCTGCGCGCTGCCCACTGCCGTGCGCCCTGCCCTGCCATCGCGCTGCCAGCAGACGCGTGCCCTGCCCTGCCCTTGCGCCGCTAGCAGCCACGCTGCCCTTCCTGTGCGCCACCCTACTGGCCACTACCCTGCCCTGCCCTCTTTGCGCGCTGCCTTGCTGCTAGCACGCTAGCCTGCTCTGTATGCTATGGCGACCCTGAGCGTCCTCACCTTTAATTCGGAGGGCCGCCTGATCGAGTTCGACTCTTCTCTCGATGACTTACAACTATCCTTACCGAGCGACTCTAAGGATGGGATTTCGCTGTTTGACCTCACTTCTGGCGCCTCTGTCGCTCCTGCCGACACAGCTGATAGTGTAGCTCGCTCTCAGTGGCTTACTCGTGACGCTACTACTCGCCTAGCCGTTCGCAATCACCTACCGTTAGCCGAACACGCTCACTTCGAACAGCACAAGACTGCAAAGGCACTGTACGACGCTGTAGTCGCTCATTACTCCTCCCGGGCCACTGCTGCCTTAGGCCGCCTTCTCCTACCTTACCTGTTCCCAGAGCTGTCCGCCTTTGCCACAGTAGCCGACCTCGTCACTCACCTTCGCACTAGTGACACTCGCTACCACGCTGCGCTTCCCGCCGAGTTTCTCACCAAGAACCCTCCTCTTATGCACATCACTCTCTACTTCGTAGCCACCCGCCTCCCTAACTCTCTTAGCGCTGTCAGGGACCTCCTTCTAGCCATTGACCCCACCACCCTCACTGTCGACCTGCTCGAGAAGCACCTCCTTGCAGCTGAGACTAGCATAGTCGCTGTAGGCGCTTCTCGTGGCACTCCTCGCTCTCCCTTCTTTGAGGGGTGTTCGCCCTCCCCCCTTCTCCCCTCAGTTGCCTCTGTTGCAGCTGTTGACTACCTTTGTGTCGAGGAGGTAGGAGCTGCGCCTGCCCCTAGTGGGAGGCACCGCAGCGGCCGAGGCAGGGAGGCAGGGGCGGTGGGGGCAGCAGAGGTGGAGGCGGTGGTGGGGGCGGTGGAGGCGGTGGAGGGGGCGGCGATGGCGGAGGGAGTGGTGGTGGGGGTGGGGGTGGAGGTGGCGGCAGTGGTGGCGGCAGTGGCGGTAGTGGCGGCGGCAGTGGTGGCCGCAGTGGGAGTGGAGGCGGTGGCGGTGGTGGCGGCCGAGGTACCACAGTTACATCGCTCTCCGCACCTGTTGCTGTCTCTCTGGCTGACCCCTCTGGGGGCCCAATCCTTGCACGTTCCTC